TGCACCTTTAAGTAGCTTTATTGACCTGCTGCCAAAATTTCAAGGGTTCCAAAGTAGTTGGACATGTGTCTACTAAGTGTTTCTTGGCCAGCTGTGTGTCATTTCAGTGTTAGGTCATGGTGGCTCCGGGTTGATTGAGAATAGCCATATAGATGGGGTGGAGCTGTCTGTCAATATGAAGAGAAAAGCTGACCAAGTGAAAAAGATCAAAATGAGGCTCAAAAAAGTGAAACTCTGTAAATTAAATTTCAAAAGCAGAAGCATCCAGGACACAACCTGATGCACTGAGGAGCCCGGGATTTGTGGATGAGCAGGAAACTATTCACATGGTGAAGAAACTATATAGAACTAAACACTAGCATTTTGTAACAACATACTGTGGACTGATGAAACAAAATCAATCAAAGTGATGAAAAGAGGAAAGTGTGGAGGGCATGTATAGCTGCCAATGGAGCTGACATTTACTGATGATTTCACTGCTGACAGAAGCAACATGATAAATGTTGAGGTATACAGGAGCATTATTTGTGCTCAGATTTAGCCTTTAGACGGCATCCCATCATTCCGCAAGACAACAATCCTAAACATCCTAAGCAACCAAAAGGGATTTTCACCCTGAAAAGGGCTTTGGTTGGTCAGATGGAATGACCACGTGTTCACCTTGGTAGACTGTTCAAGTCGGTCACTGAATCTCGGCCTGATTAAGCTGCTTTTTTTTTTTTTTTTTTTTTTACCAAACACCACAACAACATTCAGGAAACTCCAACAAGCAAGAGCAGAAGGTGGCTGCAGTGAAGGGAGAGAGGATGCCAAGGATCCGCTGATGTCTGTGGGTCCAAGACTTCAGGCAGTCAGTTAGTTTGCCACAAAATATTAAATGTGATGATTCTGACTTCCTGTGCATATGTCCAATTACCTTTGGACCTGTAGCATTTTGGAATATGAAGCTCTCCTCTGGAGTTCTCTGGTGATATCCCTTTGAGCTGAGCTTGATGTTGGGCTGAGATACCAAATGACCTTTTAGTCTGCAGCCAGTTACTCAGAGCCCAGAGATCAGTGTGTGAGCGCATAAGTGAATGCAAGGTGTATTTCATTCACTGAAAATAATGCAGTTTCAGGTCCACAACAACATTCAGGAAACTCCAACAAGCAAGAGCAGAAGGTGGCTGCAGTGAAGGGAGAGAGGATGCCAAGGATCCGCTGATGTCTGTGGGTCCAAGACTTCAGGCAGTCAGTTAGTTTGCCACAAAATATTAAATGTGATGATTCTGACTTCCTGTGCATATGTCCAATTACCTTTGGACCTGTAGCATTTTGGAATATGAAGCTCTCCTCTGGAGTTCTCTGGTGATATCCCTTTGAGCTGAGCTTGATGTTGGGCTGAGATACCAAATGACCTTTTAGTCTGCAGCCAGTTACTCAGAGCCCAGAGATCAGTGTGTGAGCGCATAAGTGAATGCAAGGTGTATTTCATTCACTGAAAATAATGCAGTTTCAGGTTTTGGAACTTCTTAGAGAATCCCTTTGCATTGTCTTCCCTGAGAATCACAGGTGGTGAGGAGGAGGAGAGTAGTCTGGTAATTATCTCCAAGGAATTCTCCTGTAATCCTCTCTCTGCTGCATGCATATTCGCTACAGACCACTAAACTATGGGCACTGTGGGGGTTTTAAAATCTTTTATCAACAAAAATCTTCAAACATCCAATATAATATACAGTATTTACATCATGTGAAAAAGGTTCTCTGTGCATAATATCAATAATTAAAATACAGCAGCAAGGGAGGCCTTACCCCTGTATAATATGAGCAGAATAAAACACCTATAGTGAATTAAAAGAGACCCTAATGAGAGAGAAACTATTCCTGTGCAAAATGATTAAGTGGATAACTTGCAATGAAATTAATAAATCCAAAAATATAAACGGGGAAAGTAAAACTGAGAAAAATACAACACCCATAGTGAAGTAATGAACAACTCTATACCTACATGTATGTACTCGTAAAATGAACAGCTATAACTATCCATTTATCCTATGCTGGGTTAAATGAACCCAAAATAATGAAGGACCTTTATCCCTGTACAAAATGAATAATGCAAAGTGTCTGTTTAGAAATAAACAAAGCAAAGTGGAAGAGAAATCTCTACCCCTGACATCGTGCAAAAAACAGGAAATATGAGAAATACAATAAGTACTCCCCCAACTGTACAAAAATAGAAAAACTATCTTTTAACAAAACAAAATGCAAATAGCCAGATAATTATTTACAGTACTGCAATGCAAATGTTCTTATTGTCCATAAAACAGTCTTATAATGGCTTAAAGGCTTTTGTTCTACATGTATGTAAACCTGCTCAAATTAAAGAGACTTGGCATTTTAATGTAATGTCCATTATTTAATTTCATATTGAATGTGCTGAAGCACAAAGCTTGAAGACCAACATATGTGCAACTGTCCAGACACAGATTTTTGTGTTATTTTGTCCTTAGTGCATACAAAGGGTGGGCAAAATAACACTGATCTGGACGATTTTCAACAAAAAGTGCATAACATCAACTTCACTTCACAGTATTCATTAAATCACTGCTATAGGATTATGCTGTACAGGTGTTATAAGGTGAACCTGTAATTTCCACACAGCCATCTGACAGGTTGCCACCTGCAGAAAAGGGAATATAGCACTATTTTTACCATGTTCAGATGGCTGCACAGCACTCAGGAAACATTATAAAGTGGAACCTATTGTACTGCATCAAACAGTGCCCAGTAGGCTCGAGTACAAATAGAGCAGTAGCCTTTACTGCACTGAATAACAGAAACCAAGCTCAGATCACTGCCTTTGACTCTACCGCTTCGAGCAGGACTTCAAAGCTAGCATGCAGCCCTGAGTTGAGCAGCAGTGGTAGAAATTGTACAAAGGAATGTTAGCCTGTTTACTATTGACTTTGCAACAATTACCCAAGCATATATGTGTGTAATTAGATAAGGCAGCCAGTTGTTCTCTAATGCGGCAAATCAAATTAACTAAAGATGCCACATTGATTTCTTTGTGCTCCTTAAATTATTCATATTCACTTGCTACTGAACCAGCCAGAAACCAGTTTTTCTAACTCCTCTGCACCACTGCTCCCTTGCACCCTGCACCTACTGACTGTTTTGTGAAATTTATCTAAGGAACTTTTTAATATTTTTACCATCACAATTCAGCACAACGTCCCTCCTGAAAAGAGAGGCTTTATGCAGTGTTATGGAAATGCCCGGAATTTCTATTATGCGTGTGTGTGTGTGTGTGTGTGTGTGTGTGTGTGTGTGTGTGTGTGTGTGTGTGTGTGTGTGTGTGTGTGTGTTTTTGTTGACAGCATGCACAAGAATGCTGTGAGAATTCATGAAGCACGCAGTCTGCAGACAACCACGTCTCAGGCTGCTTCATTGACGCCCTGTTCTCTGGCATGTTGTGCGTGGGGAGATCAATATGACCTTACCTCCACCGCCCGCTCCTTTGAAACTTAATTACTGATATCCCGCTACAAAGTCATCATAGTCTGGCTGTCAATATTCATTGGAGATCATTACGGGCCTAATAAAAGAGGTTATTTACGGGCTGCTCTGCTGACACCGGATCAGGTCCAGGGATTCAGCTCCAGCCATCTCAATTTGCTTTACTTCTCTCTCTCTCTCTCTCTCTCTCCCTCCCTTTCTCCCCTCTCACACCTCTCCCAGAAGTACTGACCTGAAAAAGAAAAATTGACAGCACAGAAACGAACAGGAGAGAGGACAGAGGCTGAATTCTTCTGGCATGGCTTTTAATTCTCTAGGACGTGTTTGGAGGTTTTTCAGCCCGTGCCAAAAAAGAAACACTGGAGCTGCCATATCCCTAAATCCCTAACTAAATTTGAACTTTGTTTGCCATTGACATCACAATCAGACCCACAAAGGGATAATTCATGACATTTAGAGAAATGTCGGTCAGATCCTTGCTTCTTTGCAGCAACACAGCTTTAACTTCTTTTAACAAAAACATCAACTACTGTGTTTACAAGGCCACAGTGCTATTCTTTCATGCTGTTCCTCAGAAAGTATTTCATCAGTACCAAGAGCAATGCCACGGGCAGCACAACTCCCACTATTGACATTGTAGGGGAACAAGGAGTTGTGTGATTGTGGGAGATTGCTATATGTTAATTCATTCAATAAATCAATAGCTTCACTGCAACTGAAATGGTTGTCCATCCGGTTTTGAGGCAACATGGCAACAACTGAAAAGTGGAACAGTGAACTCTGTAGATCAAAACAGGTACTGCATCCAGAAAACTCTCTCTCTCTCTCACACATACTCTCACACATGCCTTTTGTCTCTCATGTTTAGCCACACACAAGCATCCTTATATCCAAACACACACAGATACACACAGCTCTGCAGCTCCCTCTTAGCGTCTTGATTAATATGGTCCACTTTACATCAGTACACTGGATGCCAATGCACACTGTGCACTGTCCTAAAGTCTGCTGACTTAAACTGTACATGTGTGTTTACTTTTAAAGCTTCTGTCCTGGCTTTTGTGGGTGGGCTGCATCAGAAATGAAATAAGAACAACATCTGGGAAGAGAGGGGGGTGAGATAGAAAGGCACATTATGATTTTGTGGTAGAAATAAAATTGACAGTATGTGTAGAGTTGGGAAAATAAATCAGAGTCATCTGATGAAGTTACAGAAAGCGTGATGCATACAAACCGCACACACTGGGATCAATTATTAACTGCAATCTGCTGGTTGATGTTGTGGGTTTGTGTTTTGTTTTTGTGGTCTTTTTCAAGGAAGATCAATAAATTCTCTAGCAGTGGTTGAATCACTTTAACACCAAGATATAATTTTTGATTGATGGTGTTTTATTTTTGGTGGGTTTTTTTCTATCCCCACATAAATTTAAGGGTATAAATAATTAAATATACCATGAAGCTCACATTTAACATTACCACATCTGTCTCTTCTCTGTCTGTAGAGATCCCAACAAACCAGTTCCACAAGACACCAAGTTCATCCATACCAAGGCCAACCGCTTTGAAGAGGTGGCCTGGTCCAAGTACAACCCCCAGGACCAGCTGTACCTGCATATTGGCCTGAAGCCACGTGTGCGTGACCATTACCGTGCCACTAAAGTGGCCTTTTGGAAACACCTAGTGCCCCACCTGTATAACCTCCATGACATGTTTCACTACACCTCCACCACCACCAAAGTGCCCCCACCAGAGACCACACAGAACACCCTGTCCACCAAGAGGCCCAATGGGAAAACCTCCTGGCCGTTCAACACCAAGCGTCCCCCCATGTCCCCGGCCTATAACAGTGAGGACAAAGACTCCTGGGGGGAGGATGAGGAAACGGGGCCCCAGGTGGAGAATCCGCGAGATTACTCCACAGAGCTCAGTGTCACCATCGCTGTGGGAGCCTCGCTGCTCTTCCTTAATGTGCTGGCTTTTGCAGCCCTCTACTACCGCAAGGACAAGAGACGGCAGGACTCCAGCCACGGGCAGCCCAGTCCACAGCGCCAGACCACTTCCAATGACATTGGCCACCATGCACCTGAGGAGGAGATCATGTCACTGCAGATGAACCAGACGCACCACGAGTGCGAAGCTGGCAACAGCAATGAAGGGGCACTACGCTTGGCCTCGCTGCCTGACTACACACTCACCCTGCGGCGCTCTCAGGACGACATCCCCCTCATGACCCCTAACACCATCACCATGATCCCCAATTCCCTGGTGGGTATGCCCAATCTGCACCCCTACAACACCTTCACAACTGGCTTCAACTCCACTGGCCTGCCGCACTCCCACTCCACCACCCGCGTATAGCTTTAAGGAGGCCAGGGACGGCAGGCGCGGGTGGGGGGAGGAGGGAGCAGTGGTGGTGGTGGTAGTGGAGGAGGAAGAATCGGAGGATGAGCGAACAGAGGAGAGGCTTGTGTTTTATAAATATCACGGCGGGGGGTGTGGGGGGGGAGTTGGAAGGGCAGGAGTCGGATTAAGATGTGGGGAGATTTAACTAGACTTTTACTATGAGGAGAGTTGCTGAGAGCTCTCTGGATGTCAAGTTGTGCAGAGTTGCCAAAATCAAACTGCTTCCCTCCTTCTGATCAGGAGAGAGGGTATATCTGCAGTGTTTTTTTTCTAATATAATAATTTTAAAAGCCTTTTTAAGCAGACTGGGGAGATATCAACACTTTTTTTCTTGAATTCATAACAAACACACACACACACACACACACAAAGAGAAGTGCTTTTTATTTCCTCTTTATTTCTCTTCCTCCTCCAGGAGAAACATGTAGAACAATGGCCTCTATGTCAATATTCACGAAATGTTCTTAATTGCTTCTTTGTTTTGCTTTACGTTTCAATGCCTTACAAAGCTTGTTCGTTTTGTTATCATTTCTATTCCCTGAGACTTTACCAAGCGAAGTGTGTTACAAGCAGATGAGACTCAAAGATGAGAGACTGAATCGAGGATGGGAATCTACAGGATATGCAGATGTAGAGATTTTAAACCCATTTTGGGCAACTCATCATAATTTTTTTCTTTTTGATGTGTACCAACACAACAGCCACACAAATGGTGTTATCCTGTTTTTTGTTTAATTTTATTTTTAGCTCATATAGAAATGATTTGTCTGGGACAGCTCTTGCCAGAAGAGGAGAAGACAGATAAATACTATGTTACTGTGGTTGTTTTGTTAAGAAAAAAGTGCATCTTTTACAGCCAATTTATCTGTTAAGCTATCTGATATTATCTCCGCAAAGTGTGCACGTGCACATGCTGCTTAGAGCACCTATGTGTTTGTGTGCATGTGAAAATGACTTCTCATTCCCTGCGTGTGCAAGTGTGGTTGAGAGGCTGAGATAGAGGAAGAGACATTGTCTGAACTTGCAAATGCAAGTGTGGTCATCGAGTGAGTCTCTCTACGTGTGTGTGTGAGAGAGAGTGAGTGTGTCACAGTGTGTGTGTCCATGCGCCTGTGTTTTGTTTGTAGGTTGTGTAATGTGATTTTTTTTTTTTTTTTTTTTGGTCGCTACAAATGAACAACAAATAAGCTACTCCATTAATGTTGAAACTATGCAAACACACCAGTCATTGAGGAAATGTTTTCATTCCGGGACACCACCAGTAGTGTTTCTGTTGCATCTCTGGGTGTCCGTCTTTGCAAAATAGCACTTTTGTTATTTTCAAATTTATATATGTCTAATTTTGCTTAAAGATTACAAAATAAATCTATTATTTTACGTGTAAGAGAAAAAAATAGATGAAGATTCAAATGAACTAACTGACATGATTCCATTGACTTTGTAAGAGTTCCTCTTCAACAGCAGACAGTGGCCTGTTTGCACTGAATAGACCTACATATGGAGATATCTCTCCCACATACAAAACAATGAAAACACTCTTCAAACTGAAAAACAATTCCCATATACTGTTGTTGTCATTTGAAACATCTCAAGCCAGGACAGCTCTAGGTGTCTTTGTATGAGCTCTATATGTATGTTGATGGACAGCTCTAGGTGTCTTTGTATGAGCTCTATATGTATATTTATGTATAAAATATTTAATATTTATTTATGTATACCAGATGCATACATGCTGATTGTGCCATGTGCCAAATTAAAACTGTAAAAAATGAAGAACATAAAGTTTCACTAAACTTTTTTTCCTGTCTTGATCAAAGGTCTTCTTTCCCTCCCTTTTACGACTTTTTGTTATTTCCATTTTGAATGAGTTAAAAAAAAATCATCTTGCAGCAAGTGTATGTCTCCCCACAGGACTTCTTTTCTTCCTCCCCTCTTCCTCTCTCTCCTCCTCGCCCTTCCCCCTCAGCCTTTTTCTCTCGCTGAAACCTTTGAGAAAAACAGACTAACAGCTTGGGGCCTATCTGCGTGCATAACTCCAGATTTTACTGTGATTCATGCAAAGTAGAGCTGCAGCAATGGGAGGATGTGAAAAGATTGCCTCTGTGTGCTCACATTGCATCCTATTATCTATTATTCTTGGGGAGAAAACTGGAGTTATTGACACTGTGAGTAAAACTGGCAATTTTCATTAATTATCTCGGCATAGCACAGATTGTCTCCTGCGTTACAGCAAAGTGCGGTAATGCGACAGCGCTGGCGACGCTCGACCAGTGTTGCAGTGCTTAAACAGTTCTTGCACATGGAACTCAACATTTTTAAGAAGTATTCCATTACAACTTCCCCTGGTATTTAATGACTGGAGATGCAGCAGAGTGAGAAGCACAGTCTGGTCAGCTCATCACTGATCCTGCCAGTGGCTGAAAGAGAGAAGGAGTTATTTGAGGGAACTTGCTTTGAGACTGATCTATATGAGTCATCTTATTTTTGTTCATCCTGCCTTATATGGGGCTCACCTCCTAATCAGCTGCCATCTTCAAATCAGCCATGGTCACTAAAGACATAAGCAGCTGCCTTTCACCTGGAGCTGGCTCAAACATACAGAAGCTTAATAATGTCTCTGTGCTTGCGCTTATGCAAGAAGCAGATTATGCACATGGTCAATAGCAGTATTATCAGCAGAACCTTGTTTTCTGGAACAAGCATCAAGGCTTTCATGGCATTTTCATGAGTAAAGACATATTTAAATAGTCCTGACTGCAGAATGGATGTGAATCTTCCTTACAGGAATATGTCCTTATATGTTCACCCAAGTTATTTAACTTTATTTTTTTAACTTTACTTATTGTTGGTTCTAACCATGCACAAATTTGGGGTTTTATTTTCTAAGGTTTTGGGAAAGTGAGATTTCTGCTGCCACTCCAACACAATAGAAGAGAATGGAATTTCATTTGTGGTACTCACAGCATTAAGATATGGCATTTCAAACAAAATGTGATGTCTATATCCAGAAAAAAAAATGTCCTTGTTATTGTGATAAGCTACAGCACACATTCCTCAGTTCAGCTGTTTTTCAGGGACTATTCTTTGGTAGAAAGCATTTCAGATAGAAGCTGTTCACACCAAGGTCTGTGGCTGATTCAGAGTAAGAGCAATATTGTTTCAAAAATACGTTGGTTTTTTTTAAAGCTGCTGTAATCAGTGTTTTTATAATGACAATGGATCAAATGACCCACACCCGTCCCTGCACTCTGTCGGAGCCCTGTCTCTTTCAACTCATTGCTTTCCTTATAAGGCCTGCAACTTTGATGTTTCGGTTGACTATCACCGTTCTCATAAAGCTGTTTCCAGGAACAGTAGTGAGCTGTTTTCAGCAAAATAGCTGTACAAACCCACTGTATGCCACCTCCTCTACACCGCACAGCCACAGACATACATAAAAGACTAGCTGGTGAACACAGTGAAGCATTTAGCAGCTAAGATATTTTCCTCAGTAGTTGGTGAAGAGGAAAAACAGAATGAAAAGGAGTGTAAATATTATCCGGTGAACTTCCAAGAGAACTCTAATATTGCTCCATGTCTATCGGGTGTGTAAATAAGCAACTGTTTGCTAACAGGTTTGTGATGATATGTGTGACCAAAAAAAATCAATCAGTGAGAATGCAGGTTTTATAATTTCTAATGCTGTTAGTACCATAAACAACATTTACTCACCACCCTGCTCCAATGTGATTTGGCAATCTGCCCCTTTGACACAGGATATCAAAGAATCAAAGTTAACCAACCCTTTGTCTGATCCATTTTCAGTGGTGGTAGGTCAGTTTCCATTGGCTCCAACACACACACATACAGTGGCGCAGGGCTAAAATAGAGCAGAGGAATTGAGAGTGAACTATCAAAGGAAAGAAATGTCATAGGAGGGAAACTTGTTTTTTTGCCATGTAATTTCCTCATATGCCATTAAAGGAGAGCAGATGTCACAGAATATTGGCAGGGATAGACCAGGTGGCCTCAGGGACAGGGGTTTGGGATACATAGCCGTGTGTGAAGAGCCACATAATTAAGAGTTGGACCAAAGAGAAGGACCAAGAAAACTACAGTGACAGCAGTGCAGCAAGGAAAAAAATGGGGTCAAATTCATTCTACAAGCAAACACCTGAAGGGTCAATGAAATTAGTCCAGTAGGAAAGATTCACCACCAGTCGAAAAATGGGACAGTTATCAACAAGACACTTTTGCACTTCAGTGAGTGTGTTTCAAAAGTGACATCATTCAAGGATTGGCTGGAATACCCCAGTGGGGTTTGCGACTGCCTCGACAGCACTGAAAACAAACCCGGCCCAGGAAATGGATGTGCCAAATTACACAGAGCCACCCGCTGGGAGAGAGCTGCAGGTGTGTGTGCGTGTTGATGTGTGTATGTGTGCACAGTATGTGTGTGCAGATATTGACAACTTTATTTCTACTGCAGTGAACATGTTGTCACCTATATTTCTTCTCACCCTCTCTCGCACCCTCATCTCTCTCTTCCTGTGTCTCATTTGTCTTTGCTCCTGTTTCTTCTTCTTCTTCTTCTTCTTACAAGCTGTTTATTTTTATCCTCCCTCGTACAAAATGCAATCTGAGCAGCTCTACCTCTGTCTCCCACAGACAGGACTTGCATATCTCCTGCTCTCATTTGCCATAATTTGGAATACTCGCTCATTTAAGATCTCATTTTCTTGTGTTACTTTGTTTCTCTCCTGACTAAGGAGCTAATGAACATTACTAATTGGGAAGCAGAGTGGAACCAGTTACTGAACCGAAGCTCTTGTTCTTTAAATTTAAATGGCCTGTTTTTCTCCAAAGGGAAATCATACTGCATTTTGTCAGAACATTAGTAATCTATTATTTCCATGTGAAAAACACACTCTTGACAGCTTTCTTTTGTGCACACAGAGTGCTAAACAAATCACTGTTTGTTTGTCTTTGTTTTATTCATTTTTGTTTGTTTGTTTTTGCTTTTAGGTGCCATCAACCCAGATACTGTAATACATTTGCACTAGAACGTAGAAATCAACAAAACTACTGGTATTTGAGTCCACATACTTCATGATGAATCTGTGTTATTATTGTACAGAATACAGGAGGTGCCCTGTTACTTCTATGTTTATGTCCATAGAATGTATTTATAGTCACACAAACTGGAGTAATCAAAATAAAATATCTATTCTTTCTGTATCTTATTGTGGTTCTCATGAATATAGAGCATGTAATCCATTTTCAGTTGGCGTGAGACTAAGAAGTTGGGTGCTGATAATAGCATTTTGGACGTTTTTCATCCTGGAGAATGATTAAGGAGAGAGCATCGCAATCCAAGGGAGCATCTCTGTAAGTGCTGTATGTAAGTGCTCTGCTCCAAAAAAAAAAAAAAAAAAATCACACGGTTTTTGCGTTAAAAGATAAGGCTGGCATGTTTTATCTTTTTTATTATTATCAACCAATCCCACAACCAGATCAAAACCAAACCAAATTTATCCTGTTAACAAGTACTATTTGGTACTATTTATGGAGCCACACTAGAAGATGTAGCATATGCATCTGTGCCACTGTTGTCCAAGAACTACTAAAAAGCACAAAACTGCCACAGTGGTGCAGTGGATGACAAATCTTTTAATTGAGATGAATATAAACAGTATAGCTCGATCCTCATAGCTCGTCAAACGAGCAAGCAAGGAGCCATATTCCCCAGCATGCTTGGTAATGCCTGAACAACATGGAGCTGTTGTCCAGAGAAAATGCTGCTGCTCAGTTGTGTCAGAATAAACTAGAATGTCACCCAGTGGTGTGGCTGCTTGATGTGTTTTTAATGGTTATTGGATGACAACGGAGTTCCGAGGCACAGAGGCATACGCTACAAGCTGTGGCTACACAGACAGTACTTGTTAGCAAGATAAATTCAGTGCTGTTTGTGGTTTTTTAATGGGCTTTGTTGAATTCAAATAAAAAAGTATAAAATGAAACCAGCTTTCTGCTTCAGCATACTCTGGAAGCATTGCAAGAATGGAACAAGCTCATGTGCAATGTACTATTCAGCAGTAAATGGGGCTGGTTTGCTGTATATGGAGGTACAGTAAAGAACAGTAGCAGCC